GGACCCACTTGTCGAGTTTTTTCACCTTCCCAATGCGTTTCAGACCATCCGCAACAGTGGATTTGCCAACGCCTAGCTTTTCTGCAATCTCTCGAACTGTTTGGGATGGGTCAACCTCCAAAAACGCCTTCAAATCCTAGTCAGGTATTGCTTTAGGTCGACCGCTACGAGGTTCATCTTCAAGGCTGAAATCTCCAGAACGAAATTATCGAACCATTGTCGCTTCCTACAACACTATTGCCCCCCCCCCCTCCTAACCCACATTTGGTTAATTTGTCGAGCTATCTCGGCTGCAGATTGACCCAATTTATAGTTGAAGAAAAATATCGTCCGAAGTTGCTCATTTGACATACTTCAATATTGTAGGGAAAGGGAGTTTATGAAGCAATGGTGATGAAACGGCAATCATACCATCAGATAGCGCAAAAAATTCTCTTCAGGATGTGCTACTGAGACGCAAGGGAGAATGAGTTTTCAATCAGCAATGAATGTGCAAAAAATACAGTAACACAAAACGATGAGAACTTTCCGGACAATCTAATAATTTGTCTGCAGACAAATGTATGTGTTCATACGTACAGATCGTACAGTGTATATGATATGAAATTCAGGAAGAGCTGAAAGTTGCTGCCATGCAACAAGAGTTGTACAAAATTCACGGGAAGGGATTTGGAAGTCATGAACTCAACGCCAGTGATACGAATAATGGATTAGACATAATAAAGGTCTGAGGCTATGATATTATGACTTCTCTTATACTACGGCCCTTCAGTGTGATCGCTTTACTAGTTATCTGGTCACTGCACACTCTTTTTCTCAAAAATCACCGTTATTTCTTGGTCCATTAAGGTTTATATTGCAGAATCCTCGTCGATCTCCTGCTAACAACTACACTGATCTCCTTTGTGAAATAAAAAGCCTTTTAGATGGAAACATCGATCCCAATACTTACGAGGATAATGTTAGGTGAGTTTTGTGAAAGTGGTCTCTTTATCACAATAATAAGTAAAGGATCCTCGGCTAAAGCGGCCATCTTCAACGATTCATGATTCACCACTAGGTGGGTTCCCTGTTGCTAACCTTAACTTCTTTCCCCTGGGACCTTGCACTTTGAGGAGAGTTTCCTTGTCTTTTTAGTGCACTTTACCTCATCTCCTAAGTTTAAAACTAAAGCAACATTTGGAAACAATCGGTACCCTCACCTCTGAGGATAGTCCTTGCCATATTCGAGAAGAACGGGTTGGCAGTTGTGTAAATACAGCACTTTTCACGCTTGAAGAACGCGCGGAAAGGAGGCTGAAGGGTACTGGTACCCAAGCGAGGACTCCACCCGGGTTTCACTACCCTTCAGCCTCGTTTCTATGCACTTTTGAGCGAACAAATGGGCACGCTACTGAAGCGGTCGACTCACTCTCCGCGTACATGGCAAGAATAAGGACCCGCGGAGGTAAATGTACAGTTTATCATTAATGATGTGAACGTGAGAAGTTTACTTTTCCACTGTTCGATTCGTCAGATTTCTCTTGTATTTTCTCCCTGCTAAAAGGACAGGATTCTTCTAGTTCCCCTACTGTTGCTATCATTATTATTGCAACTTGATAAATTCAGTAGTATTACCACAAGCTTGCTGAGCTGTGGGGAAAGCTTCTCGCCGCAGCCCGGACTCGAACCTGGAGCTCGCATTCTTGCTGTGTGCTTTTTGTGAATGGTCATCGAATCCAATGGAAAGCACATTGCTCGCGAACTTATAGGGGTATTCATCAACCGAGGATTCTCCTCAACTATCCCTCCTTCCTTGATTTCCTTACGTCCCCTTTCCCTCTCTCTTCCCTTTCCGTCTCCCTTCGACTGCAGGGCCAGTGGATGCGATGAGAACATACCTCTGGACCCTCGCAGAGAGCATGTCGGGTCGACAGGCCCTGCAACCTGCCAGCGAAAGCATAAGGTCTAAGTCAAACTCTTCTGAAGTAAGGCGTTACCTTGTAGCCCGGCGAACTTGCGATAAATCCGCATCACGAACTGCGATGAAAGACAGCAGTTAACAGAACTAATGAAAACATCTGTATTTCCACAACGCCGAAAATATCGATATATCTACATCCGTCATTTACAGGTTACTGTTTCCGAATAGACGGGTATTTGGTAACAACTATTGATAAACTCATAGCTATGGTTGGACGACAGTTGCATTTCCTGGCCACAGGTACTGAAGGGCTTGAAACGATGAAACTTTATCAGCGTTTTCGTTATGATCTGCCTCTATCAGTGTTCAATCAGTCGGCTAGAAAAACAAGGTAGGCCTCAGTTCGATTATTGCACATGGTGTATAGAAATTCATTCGTTTTCAGGGTCGAGGAAGAGTACTCACGTGCTGCAGAAACGTTTTTCAATTGCCAAAATTGTTTTAAAATATACGTCATTTACGAGAAGAAACCCGTAGTGACTATAGAACTTGTAGACACAGAAACTGAAGTGAGCACATCGAGTGTTTCAGTGTCCTTTTCCACTGGTTTCATCTTTTGGTAAACTGTGTGAGTGGGACAGTGTCACTGAAACTGGTATTTTTTTAGGAAGATAACGGCGATGGAGAAAATATTCAACCCAACGGCGAGACTACAGCAGATGGTAGTACCGATGACGATTCCGACCACAACGAGGTTGTTTTCTATAAGCCAAAAAAAGTTTTTGATGTCATCATAATCGATTATTCTACAGGAGACCGATGAAGATCAGCGCAGAAATGGTACGACAGTACGGGCGGCGACGAATGGTTTGTCCACCAAAAAAGATGGAATTACTGGTGTAGCAGGACCTTCAACAGTAAAACGAAGTGTGTCCACATCCGCTCATGAATATGCTCCGTACAAAGTGTCAAGTTTTACAGGTCGCCTCTTCCTCAGGCGAAATGCCCGCATGCGGAATCCTGAAATTGCTGGGGATTTTGTTGTATTCGGAGGAGAGGGAATTCCAGTTATTTCTTCTCCTTCTTTTGTATGGGAAGGAATCGTTCGCCGCAATCGGGGACGAGGAGTGAGTTTAAGAACATCTTACTTAATTGACGTGTGCAGAAATAGTGTAGATCTTGCTTTTTTGCTTCATTGCAAAACTACAGAGCCTTCTTAGAATCTGTGGACCGATAGACCGGTCCATAACTCCTGGTAAAGCTCTGTAGTTTATAGATGGAATGAATGGATCACCGGAACTAATTTTACTAAAAATACCAGTTCCAATAAATCTGTTCCACCTGTAAGCCAGTAGATCGATACTGTGTGAAGCAGATTTTTTTACCGTTCTTACGCTGTATATACTACCCTTGTACGCAGTAAACATCACTGGAAGCCCTGCCAGATAGCGGGGCTTATCCATGTGAATGTTTAGTAGTTCGTCAGCTTTTCTCTCCCACTACTTTCCTAAATTGCCTAACCATTAGGCCTTCGACTGTTACTAGACTAGTTACTTCGCCCATGTTAACTACCTCTCAGCTCATAAAAATAATCTATATCTATCTATATCTAATCTAATCTATAATAAGTCTTCAAGTAGTCCAAGTTACACGGAGCGTCACTATTCTGAAGTAAGGAACGGTTTTGTTCCTCTGGTTCGCTGCTGATGAAGGGGTGTACCAGAAAATATGAGCGCGCCGCGGCGCTAAACCCTTCCCATGCCATTTGCTGATGCGGGTATACTGACGCGCCTGCCATTTGCTGATGCGGGTATACGAAAGAAATTGAAAGAAAACGAGTGATAAGAGTAATATTATACAACGTTGCCACTTGCTCACTCCAACAAGTGCCAAAAAACGTGTTTAGCACCGCGCCAAAGTCATCCCGCCTGACACGCACCCCCGACCACAACGAACTTCAATTAGCGCGATAGAATTTTGTTACCACGTTGAATATATCTGTAATTTTTCAGTTGGCCAAATTGGAGCGTATGCACTACATCCGGAAATGTCGAGCCAGAGATATGTTTGCAGAAGAGCACGGTGTCACATGGTTAGCTAAAGGAATGCAAAAAGTTACGTCACATCATCCAGTGTATGAGTTTCTCCAATTTAACAGATATTTGTTGAAAAATACTGCATATCAGTCTCGTTCCAAGTCTTCTAATGTTAGTTAACATTTTCTGATTCACATTCATAACTGTTGTGATCGCTGTTGAACAGCCTTATCGTTGAATGTTTGTACTATAAGCACGCTTCAGATTGACTAGTCAGTTACAGTTTGAACATTTTTGAATCTCTCATGCATTTTTATAGCGGTTATTTATACCAAATGATTCAATACAATAATACACTAACGAATGTTTCTAACCAATAAAGACTCAGTGTATGATTTTAAGGCGAACTCCTTTGATACAGTATGAATTGAGCACGAAATGGCTACACTTGAGTGACCGGGGATTGAAAAAAAAACAATAAGAAAGGAGATAAGGAGATGATAGTATTAATAATTATTGGTAGTCACCCTGAGAAACCAAAAACTAACATGATACTCAGAGCAGTGCTTGAGAAAGAGCTTAATTAACTATAACAACTGTACACTAGAATGCTATACATACATGGATTCTGCCAATGAAGACATTTTCAAATCGACACGTACAAAATGAGCGAAATACTCGGACAATTCGTCTACCTCGCCATCAGGTGTAGGTGGTCGTGCGGCTTGAACGCTACATGCCACTGGTATATCTCGCCTGGAATGTACAACTATTTTAATAAATCGCCTGAAGGAGGGAGACTGATTTAGTGCACAGAAAAATGACCTGTCTAGTAAGCAAAAACGGAGAATTTCCACGTCAACGTCTTCAGGAAAGCGTACTCGGCTCATCGTTGAGTACAACTCGTCAGGTAGTGGAGTGATCGGTTGCTTCCTTAATGAAGATAGCTGTTCAGCTTCGTTCATGCTTTGCGTCAGCGTTTTGCGCGACCAGGAAAGTATGGGTATCGATCTCGCCTTTTCAACGACCGCCACTTTTTGAGCGTTTCTCGGATAGTTTCAAACTTTTCGCAGACAGTCGCTGAAAAGGCTAGCACGAGCCTGAAACCCTAGATCGATATCTCCTATAAACGCTGGCGTACGCGCAAAACGCTGACGTAAAGTATGAACGCTGCCCTACTTTCTATATAAGACATGACGAAAAAACAACAGCTTTAATTTTCCAAGTTAAAATAACGAAGAGGTAATTATTGAATGGAAACTCATAAAGAAATTAGAAAAAATGTACCTGGGGACCGAATATGGAGTCCACTTGCAGCGTCGCCTCCACATAGCTTGACGGTATTCCTTCACTTTCACAGCTTCCTGTTTTTCATTTGTATTCTTCTCTTCTTGTGAGTTGGACTAAATTAATGAAATACAAATACATAAATCATTATAGGTGAAACTACTGGTTCATTTATTTTGAGGCGTAGTTACAGTCCTGTTCGCTGCCGATGATGAGGCGTGTCAGAGAGTCCGGCTTTGGCGCGCAGTCAACCCGTTCTCCACCACTTGTTGAACCGTGTAAGCGACAACAACTGGTGGAAGATGACTGAGAAGAATACAGTTTTGCTGCTCGCTCACTTGAACGGCTAGTGAAAACGGGTTTGGGAGGTGCCAAACCCATCCCCGATTTTCGAACCCCTTCATCCGCAGTGAACAAGACTGTACTGTATCGCGGGACATATTTTTATCATTTTTAATGGATTGTAAATGCTCATAATAAACAGCCACTGCTACAGATTGGCTTTCGTATTCGCCGCTAGCTCCTGTATTCGTGAGCGTTGACCAAGACCTAGTGCAGGACGTAAAATCAAGCCCACAACCGGGAATGGCAGAACGCTTGGAATCCCCGACACAAGGATAAGATACGAGCGTATAGATTGCCTGAGGCTAAGAAATCGGAAAAAGTGGCAGTTAATGGTACGGACGTTGTCTAGATCATTAGCAGAATCAGGAAATGGAAATTAAAACAAACAGCGAAGACTGGAGCAAAAAATCATAAAATGTCGAAAAAAAGTATAGTAACGAAAGCACCCGAAGGATAGAAGAGAATCTCAAGTTAAGGGATCATGAAGGAAAGTTTGAAGATCGAAAGCAGTCCGGGTCGGGAGGGTGTGGGAGCATCGTAAACTTGTTTGAAGCCTCGAATGTACTGAGCTTCAGCCGCACTTTGGCGACGGGGTGGGGGAGGCATTGTGCATATTCACTGCTTCCCATGTCGTGTTCATTGCTTTGCTAGAGTAGGCAAGTAATTACAAACTGAGAATGGTACTTCCTAATGGCGTCACAAAACGCCACAAATCTCTACACGGTGGCTCGACATGACAATGGAAGCGAAAGCGCAAAATGCTATACCCCTCCCCTTCCTCGCGTCACCGAGCTGCGATGAGTTTCGTTTTCGAACGGTTTTTGCTCAGTGTGATTCACCCACCTCGGAGATCCATACCCCCCCCCCCCCTAGACATAGGCGAAAATGCCCGGATCGATGAGATAAATGCACGTGTTTTTCGTGCATAATACCAGCGAACATAAGATAGAAGTGAACCCCCACAAACCTGTAGCATTACAGGAGTTCATAGGTCTTCACAAAATCGGACAGCAAATTGATAAGAGTTCGACAAACGTTCCCCGCCTTCCACCCCAATCACTTCGCTCTAGCACCCGACGAAATGCGAAGCGGTAGCCAGGATGGTCAGGAGGAAGATGTCTAGCGAGATAAAGTTTGGGAATATACGATAGAAGATACAAGAGAAGCAAACAGAACGAGAATCAAAGTATTAGGTTGTCCGGAAAGTTCTTAGCGTTTTGGGTGTTTAACTTTAAACGATCATAACTTTCTTAACACTCATCGGATTTAATCCAAATAAGCACCATTCGAATCAGCACACTTTTGCCAATGTGGCAGCAGTCGAGAAATCCCATCAAAGAAAAAACTGGGTGGTCGAGAATCCACGAAATCTGCGAAGGTCTTTTTTCAGCCTGAAGTTCTGAAAATGTCTGAAAAGGTGACAGTCGGTTGGTGAAAGGTCTAGAGAATATGGTGGGTGAGGTAGAACTTCAACTCCCAATTCGTTCAATTTATGGATAGTGATTTGTGAAACGTGTGGGCGGGCGTTGTCATGCAAAAGAATCGGACCCTTTCTTTTGATAAGTGTTGGCTGCAGCTGACAAATTTTCGGTACATTTGGTCGGTTTGTTCACAGTAGGGTTCTGCTGTGATGGTTTGGCCTGGTGATGAAAAGTTATAGTGGATTACAACAGCCGATGACCACCAAACCTGACCAGAATTTTTTTTCGCGAGGGTTCGGCTTTGAAAATTACCTCGGTGGTTCCTCCAAATCCAACCACTGTCCGGAACGTCTCCTGTTATCATACATGATCCATTTTTCATCACAGGTGACAAATCCGTTCAAAAACGGGTCAATTCTTTTGCGCAAAAGCAGTGAAGAAGGAACCTCGAGACGTGCCGATTCCTGCCGGTCACTCCGATTGTGGGGCACCCAATTGTCGAGTTTTTTCACCTTCCCAATGCGTTCCAGACCATCTGCAACAGTGGATTTGCCAAGGCCTAGCTCTTCTGCTATCTCTCGAACTGTTTGGGATGGGTCAACCTTCAAATCCCCCTAAAATCCTCGTCAGATATTGCTTTAGGTCGACCCGCAATGAGAGCTGCACCTCAAGGCTGAAATCTCCATGCAAGCGAAATTTTTTGTTTTTAACCATTGCCGCACAGTGCTTTCTTTAGCACTATTGGGCCCCCACACCTGGTTAATTTGTTGAGCTGTTTCGATTGCGGATTGCCCCAATTTATAGCCGAAGAAAAAAATCGTCCGAAGTGCTCTTTTCACATGCTTGAAAAAATCTTGAAAAAAGAGGGTTTATCAAGCAATGGTGAAACGGCAATTATACCATCAGATAGCGCAAGAAATTCTCTACAGGATGTG